CTTCCTGAGGACCCCATCCACAAAGGCCCCTGCAGACATATGAGCACCTGCAGGGCATGTTTCCAGGCAACGGGGCCTCCCCACATCAGTAGTCTTCCCAGTGCTCAGGCCCCTACCCTGCCCGTCAGCCTTACCGATCCCACTTTGCTCAGCAGCTGTTCCTCAGCCTTGCTAAACAAGGCCTTGCTCTGGATGGCCGCAATGGCTTCCGGGTGCAGCTGTCTCATGGCTTGGCAGGCCAGCCTGGGGGCGTGGGGGGGGACGGGGTTGTGAGAAAGAGGGCAGGGTTGAAGGGAGGGTGTCTAGCAATCTGGGGTTCCTGCAGGCCTTTGAGATCCAGAACTAGAGACCAGGCCCTCAACAGGAAGAGCCCAAGGCTTAGCACAACGCCTGTGGCCTCATGGGTTTGTTGAAAGCGTAACACACACAGGTAACTCAGCCAACTGAGTTTCCAGTGTTTACTCCCTTGCAGAGACTCAAAGGCACAGCCCGCAGAGGCCAGCTGAGGGAGACCCTGAGACCAGCTCCTGCTCCCTCCCCAAGACCTTCCTCTTTACTTGGCCAAAGCTACCGCCCACTGCCCACCACATCCTCTTTCCAAAACTGAGCCCCGCCCACTTCCTGGCTGTCAGGACCGAGGCTACAGATTAAGTGGTGCTAAGGACTGCGGAGCAGAAGATGGGTGCTAAGCATCCGACCAACTCTGACGACGATAAATGAAGTGGCTGAGCAGGAAGAGTGCGCACCGCATGGGCGCACAGGTTTACTTGGAACTTGGACTTTTAGGGGCCCTCGTATTCTTTTGTTCCAATTCCCTCTTATGGAGAAAGAAATTATGGGAGGTCAGTGTGGAAAGGTTGGAAAGTGACCTGCCCCAAACCACAACGCACACAGTGGTGGAACCAGGGCTCCTGGCACTCATTCAGGTGTTTTTTCCCATGCTACTTCTTCAGCTTCCAGATCCCCTCGCCGCTAGCATCAAGCCAGGACCAGCAGGGTTGGCAGCAGGAAGAAGCTTCCCTCCCAAGCCTGGCTGGTTTCAGTATCATCCCAGAGGATGCAAGGTCCCATGAGTCCTGCCTCCCAGGTCCCTCCCTTGGGCTTTTGTATAATTCTGTCTGTTCTAGGAGCCAAATTCTGGTGCTCCCAGTACCTCCCTGCTGCGGGAGCCAACCCCACTCACTTGGAGATGACAGGATCGTAGAGCAGGGCGTACCAGCGCTCCTGGACCTCCCGAAGGGTGAAGCGGCAGCTGAACTTCACGCCCAGGTGGACCGACGTCAGGTCGTTGGTCTGCAAGGCCCCCGATGGGTTGGCCCCAGCCTGAGAGCTGGGAAGAACCCTTCGCTTGCTACCCCCAGGGTGCTGCTGGGCTAGTCCGGGGGCTGGGGACTGCAGGCTGGGAAAGGAGGGGAGCGTGCAAGCCGCGTTAGGAAGCATTACCTGCAGCACAGCGTGGATGAGCAGGAGGTCATCCGCCGGCTTCCAGCGGCCCAAATCCTTGGTTACCTGAAGCGGCTGTTTGCTCTTCTTCACACGCTTCGTAAGTCCGGGCGTTGGCGCTGGGCTGGGCGGCACAGGAGTGCTAGGGGCCTTGGACACCTGGGCAGAGAACAGGAAGAGAATGAGCTCAAAGCCAGCATTGGGGCAGCTTGGGCTTCAGGCCCTGAGCTTCCCATACTGCGTGTGGCAGCCCAGCCTCCTAGTCCCCCCACCCCCGAAGTACTTCTACATGGTCCTTGACCTTATGGGGTCTTCTCTTTGCTGGTGACACCCTCAACGCCAGAGTGGAGGGTGGGTGGGGAGGATACCAGGAATCCACTCTGACTGGTATGGTGTCTAGGGCCAGAGCAATGCCACCTGGGGGTTATTTTTACACCCAGCAATGCTGGGAACAGGCTGTCTGCTCCCAGAATAGATGCACGCTCTATGCCTCCCACACAGAATGTGATACAGGACACACTGACAGGGTGTGTGTGTGGGGGGGGTGGTGCGGCAAGAAAGGGGGAGTAGGGAGAAGAGATGGGCTCCCAGAAGGGAGGCAGATGAGGATGGGGCTGGGGCCACCGGATTTCCTCACAAGTCTCCTCTGGAGTGCTCTTGCCAGCTGGCAAAGGTGGTGGGGAAATACAAAATCTGGCCCCCGCCCCCACATCTCGCAATCTCTCACCTTCTTCTTCTCACTGGAGGAAGGTTCACTCCCTGAACAGCGCCCTGGTTCCACCCCACTGGCCCCCTTCGCCCGGGTAGAGGACTTAGCCAGGCTGCTCTCCACCAGCTCATCGTCAAACTTCTTCCTCTTGATGAACCTGTGGAGAGTCCGACCCAGTGAGCATCCCTGGTCCGTCCTCCTCATACCCACGCGCACACACCCAGCCTCTGAAACAGCGCGGGGTCCCGGCTGGCTGCTAACTGCCCCAGCGCAGGGGACAGGGCACAGAACTGCTGCGCTCCTCCCCTCTGAGATGACAGGGTACCGAGCCACAGATTTCATGTCAGAGACCTAAGATCTCCCTCCCGTGCTCGGCAGAAAAAGCCCAAAGCTCTGCCATCACTTAGGCCCCACAGGGGCTCAAGTAGCCATTCCCAACAGTGGCTAAGGCATGCAGCACCTAACGTCCTTGCCCAGGCCCTGACCCTCTGAACCCTTCCTACCTGGAGGAGCTTCTCCGTTTAGGGATGGTGCCCAAGGCCTGAGAGGAAGCCCGCTTCTGCCCTGCCAGCGACTCCTCATCCTCTGAACGGCTGGCAGTGCCTGATGCCATCAGAGATGAATCTAGCAGCCCCTGAGAATCTAGAAAAAAAGAAGTGGTGAACTCAGGTCTCCTAAGTGCCCAGCAGAGCCTTGAGCCTCTGAACATGGGACCCCTCCTCTGCCCCTCCCCCCCGCCCCCACCCCTCTACCAGCCCTCCTGGCCCTTCCCCTGCTTCCTTGACATTTGAGGTTTTATGGTGGGAGTTCCTTGGCCATCCAGATCCCATCTGGGCTCAGACCTGGCCCAGACCTTCCACGCTGGGCAGTTCTCCCGGTGCCACGTGTCATGTCGTGCAGCACATGGTGCTCAGGTCAGACTGGTGATGCCGACACACCAGAGGCTCTGGGCATAACTGCTCCCTCTGCCATCAAAATGCAGCCATGCCAAAGAGCGCCAGCTCAACAGCAAGTCAGTCAACTGCGGCCTCTGCCAAGAGGTACGTGGGTGGTGCTGGCCCAGGGGGAGGTGGCAATGCCCAGCCAGGACGAAAAGACATACGTGCCAGGCACGGGGTGGAATCAGCAGATGCTTGGCGCCTGAGCGTTTGGGGAGCTGGCCCGGCCTCATACTACCTTTGTCCATCCTCTTACAGTCCCAAAGCCACTGGTTCCAAACCACAGGGCTAGGAGGAAGGGTCCCACAGGCTCATCCAAGGATTCTGACCAGGTGAGCTTAGAGGCTGAGAGGAGATTCTGCAAAGGAGAAGTGAGGCTCCCTGAGGCACAGGTTTCCAATGGGCCAGCCTCACCTCCTTATACTGGAGCAGCTCCCCCAGGATCCCATAAGCTAGGGAAGACACAAGAAGAGACACGAGGCTCTATTCTGCCAATATGACACTGATAAACCAACAGCTTTCTAAAGGTCACCAGCATCTTTGAGAATATAAAAGCTATGCACTCCACAAAAATGTACAACACATAGCATTTTAGGGGGTCCACGGACCTCTATGATTCTACTCAGAGTCGCGAGGTGAAGGGCCTCGACTATAAACCAGCACGAAACAAGGGACTACTGGTTCACTTCTTATCGCCCGTCGCTGCCCACTCAGTTCAGTAGCACCCCCCTTGCCCTCCCAAGCCAAAGCAGGGAAACGGAGATAGAACTCCGATTAGTCCATCTCTCTCTCTCTTTTTTCCATTTGCAGCTTTGGCTGAAGATTTAGTGGGTGGTTCCGCGTGGAAGCTAAAAAATGCGGTTTGGGAACTGAGCAAGTATCAACCGCCCTGGGGCGCCTGCTCCTAACCCCGGGAGAACTCAGGTACTGGGGACTCTTTGGGGCGTGCCGCTTGCGGGCCCCGCCCCTTCAGACCAGGGCGGCTCTCAGCACAGCTTTCCCGTCCTGCCCCCAGGTGCGCTAGTTGCGCCGCTCCGCTCTGTAGGATACGGCTGGATATCTTGACACCTGGGGAGCAGGTGAAGGGCCTGATTCCGCGGGCTGGCGGAGGCTAGGTCTGCACCCCCTGCCTTCCCCCACCCCCGTTCTCCCCCGAGTGCACACCCAATGTAGGGGATTAGTGCAGGTCTGTTCCGGGAGCTCGGGATGAGAGTGGTGAAGTCAGCCCTGCAACTCAAAAGCAAAGCACCGAGTGCACCCCGATGCTTTCGCAGCCCTGGTTTAAGCCCCACGGGCTGGTGGCGAGGGAGGGGGAGTAACTCCCAGGCCAAGTCTCACCCCACCTTCGGCTTGCCACCTTTGCGCATGCGTAACATCTCGGACCAGATTCTGGTCCTGTCCGGCTCACGCATGCGCAGATTTTCAGGGCGCTACCGGGGCGGGGCCCCAAACACTGTGGGGGGTCTTCCCCCGCGGCACTCTGGAAAACTCCATTTCGCCCCAAACTCTGCTCAGAACCCTCGGAAGCGAACCGCGAGGTCTCACCATTCCTAGGCTGCCAGCTCCAACAATTTCTCCGCGGCGACAGCAGCAGCCGCAGGGCCAAACCCGGCTTCCGTGAGGCACATCTACTTCCGGGTCTGCGAACTAGGGGCTGCCCGATCCCTTCCGGTTCGCCCCGGGAACGTGACGAAGGGGGCGTGGTCACCGCAGGGACCGGATCACCGTTTTGCTAACAACCGAAATTAAAGTTTTCCCACTTGGGACAGCATAGGGGGAAACATCAGGGGTTATAGGCCCCAGAAAGATTACTCGCTTGGAGAGAGTGATTAAAGGGAAAGACGAGACTTGGGGCGGGATAGGCTGAGGGGCGGGTCTGGGGTAGGGCTGGGCGGGACACTGGGCTTCTGAATTCCCACGGGATATAGGAATCTTTGATAGTTCAGGAGCGATTGTGCGTTGATTCCCCCAGCGATTTTAGAGAAATTACTCTGTGTTGGGCTCTGTGCTAGGCACAGCACGGGGAGATGACGTGGAGCTCGCTCCAGCCGAGAGATTTTGGCGTACCGAAGGCGGGGAGGTTGATGTCTAAGGAACGGATGGAAGGTCGTGGGCCTGAGGAAGGCCAGTGTCAGCCAGATCCCACCAGGACTGCTAGAGGCTGTTGTGGACCCCGGTAGGTGAGAAAGAAGTGCAGAGAATGCCCTGGAGGGAAGCTTGGGATGGGAGAACAAGCCTACCGGAAAAGTTTGGGGATGAGAAACCAAACAGACCTCTAAAAGAGGGTTTCTGTTTGTTTTAGGTTTCCTTGGAAGGGCACAAAAGTGTAGTAGCTCCAGACAATCATCGCAGCTCGGAATGAGGAAAATCCTAATTCCGAAGCTGTCCAGCAGTTAGGGCGGTCCTTTCAATGGAGGTGTCAACCACATGTCCCCTGGACATTGCCAGTGGATGCAAGTGTCAGAGGGGAGGCTAGCCCTTCTGGCCCTGACAGTGTATGATAGCCTTCTGCTTCAAAAGTCCCCACCTCATTTACTGGCCTGTGATCTTACTTAATAACCTATTTTGACTCCCTTAATAACCTACTTTGACTGAGTTTTCTGATAAGAGGCGTGTAGACTATACGAGATATCAAGATATCGTATGGTATCTTTACTAGATGAGAGTTATCAGGGAGGGTTCTAAGGAGAGTACAGTTGAGCTGAGATTTGACAGTTGATAGGAGGTCAGTCATGCAAAGAGCTTGGGTACCATGACCTAGTAAGAGGGGACAGCATAGCTGCAAAGCAGAAATAAATTTGGTGAGTTTGAGACACAGGAAGGAGCCCAGTATGGCTGGAGAAGGATGATCAAGAAAAAGAGGGATGGAGATGAGAACTCAGAGGTCATCAGGGGCAGTTAACATTAGCTGTTGTAGTTCATGCTATGGATTTGGGCCTTTTTCCTAATGTTTTGGGAAGCTTTTAAAGGATTACAAGTGAAGGCATCCTTGCTGTGATATTTAATTTTTAGGATGATTCCTCTGGCTTTGGAGAAGGATTGTAAAAGAGGAAGCAGAGAGATCAGATAAGAGGCTATCTTGGAGCAATCCAGGTGAGAGGTAAGTCCAGGTTGTTAGCTGGGTTGCAGGGGCAGTGGAGATGGACAGAAACAGTGACTTTGAAGTACTTTTTGGAGCTAGAACCACAAGGACTTGCTGATGGATTGGATATGGGATATGAGAGAAGGGGAAGAATCAAGGATAACCTAGGTCTTTGGCCTGAGAAGCTGGGTGGATGCTGGAGCCCCCTTTAGAATATATCCAGAATCTCGCCCTATCTCACTGGCTTGTCCACTCTCTCCTGACCCAAGTCCCCTTGATGCCGGCTGGCTGGGCCTGAAGACCCAGAGGAGATCCCACAGGACCAGCCATGAGGATCCTTGGCGTTGCTCAGGATAGAAATCAAACAAAGCTGAGAGGAAGTGAGAGCTGTTTATTAAAGATAAGAGTGTGGATATAGACATAGCATCCAGGAGACTCAGAAAGCAAAGAGTGAATTTCCTTACTTGGGACCTGGGGTTTTTATTTGAGATGGTGGTCTGGTATTTCCGCATCCAGGAACAAAGGCAAGTGTTTAGGAGTCTTCCATAAGGTACTTATGCCCTGGAGCTAAGGGTCTTGATGAGTCAGTGGTCTTGGAAAGTGTTCATGACATCCCGCCCAGTCACACCATAGATGTTATCTATTGTGAAATCATTAAATTCTTGACCTTTACACGGAGTGTGGTGTCTCTCCAATCAGAGCTCCCCCCCCCCGCCCCCCATGAGGGGTGACCGATCAGGTGGAAGCCGGAGGGGTGGCACAGGCAGAGAAAGGGATTCACCCAAGATAGAACAAAAGAGATAAAAGTTCATTGAATACACTGCAAGCAAGTGGGGGGGGGGTGAAGGGCAGGATAGCAAAGGAGAGACTTTCTACAATGAGGCAGTGGGAGGGGGCTGTATTTAAAGGGGGAAGATGAGATTTGGGGTTGTATGGAATTTCCCCTTTTTTGACAACTTGCCTAGTTGTAAGTAGCCCATTGATTAGTTAGGGCCTGTGAATATTTTGAGGTGGATCACCTGATGGGCCTGTTTGTATTTGGCCAGGGGGTTGCTGTGGGCCCTTTTTACATTCCGTTGCTCAAGCCTGTTCCCTAAAAGTGGCCTCTACTAGGAGGACATACATTATCTGTTCTATATGTATAAAGCAGGGGTGCAGGTCCTAGCAAGAACAGAAGCAGGAAATGGGGCAAAAAAAAGCAGTTTTTCACGGGGTCCCTTTAGTTTCCCTGTCTCACCCTGGATCCATCATCTCTCACCTGGACCATTGCAAGAGCTACCTACCTGGTCTCCCCAGGTTCACCCTCCCTGCCCCTCCCCCAATTTCTAGCTGCTAGGGTATTCCTATTAAAATGGAAATCCCCTCATGTCAAGCCTCTGTTCAAAATCCTCCGCCGTCTTTGGGTAAAACTCCTCGTCTAGCCTTGTTACTCTGACCTCATCTCCTGCTCTTCTCGCTTGCCCTTTTTAAAATTTCAGTCCCCATCCGTTGCACTCTCTGCCCCTTCCCTGCTTTGTTTTTCTTCTTGATGTGGGAAACAAGGCAAAAGAAAAAAATTACATTTCCTTGCTACTTAACAGCTCATTGACAACTCCTTGAAATAGGCAGAGTGAACTTCCTCTAGGAACCCCGCTGCCTCAATGTTAATACTTTGCTGAGGGCAAAAGGCGATTTTAGCTTAACATTATCCTGACCCTGCAGGCTCCTGTGATTCTACTTTAAACATAGAGAAATTCCTTTGGAACTTCCTTTATCTCTACCCCCCAAGATATATGTTAGCAATCATTCTCCAAGCATGTGGCCCACTGATAACGCATCTGAAGGGTGTCACGACTGAGGGTTTACTAAACAATAGTAAATGACCACTAAAGGTCCTGGAAACCTTGTTTCCAAAATTCCTTAGAGACTTAACGCTGTCCCTAGCCCCCTCCCAACTTAAAAGTATATAATTAGTCACCAGTCACAACCCTAGTGCAGTTCTTTCTGCCTATGGGTCCTGTTCCCGCCCTTTAATAAAACCACCTTTTTGCACCAAAGACGACTCGAATTCTTTCTTGACCATTTGCTTTGAACCCCAACATTTCACATCATGCTTAGCCCTTATCTTCTAATGCGTGGTGTAATTTGTTTTTTCCAATTTATTGTAGGTCTCCCAAGAGTAGAATGTAAACTCTATTAGGGCAGAGGTTTTTGTTTTATCCACTGTTAGAGTAGGTGCTTAACAAATATTTGTTGACTGTGTTAAAGAAACTCACAGTAAAGGAGAAGTCAGTGGGAGGAGCAGGTTCCTGTAGGGGTAGACAGGAAGAGTTCTGTTTAGACATGTGAAATTTGAGCTGCCTGGGAGGTATTTTGGTGGAAGTGTTGAGTGGATAGGTGGACACACCAGTCCAGTGGGGGAAGAGGCCTAGCCTGGAGGGACACAGGAGGGAATCATTATCGTGAAGATCTAGATGCTGTGCCTAGGGAAGAGCATAGACAGAGAATGAGGCAGGTCCAAGGCCAGTGCCTGGGGCACTCCAATGTTTAAGGTTAGGTTTGAGGAGGAGCCAGCAAAGGAACACAAAGAAGAGTGTGGATAAAAAGAAAAGCTAACAATAGCACCAATCATCCAGCCCCGTTAACCGTCCCTGGCTCTGGAGTAGTTTTTCACAGTTCAGCCTCTTTCCCTGCTTTACAATGGAGACCACACTCCTGATTTCCCCTGGATCTTTGTTCAGCTGCTCGGGGCCCCAGGCTGCTGCTCCTGGGGATTAGAATATGGTGGCTAAGAACACAGGCTCTGGAGTCAAACTGCCTGATTTTAAACTTCAGCTCGGGGTGCCTGGGTGGCTCAGTCTTTAAGCGTCTGCCTTGGGCTCAGTTCATGATCCCAGGGTCCTGGGATGGAGCCCCGCATCGGGCTCCCTGCTCGGCGAGAAGCCTACTTCTCCCCCTCCCACTCCCCCTGCTTGTGTTCCCTCTCTCGCTGTCTCTCTCTCTCTCTGTCAAATAAATAAATAGAATCTTAAAAACAAAACAAAACTTCAGCTCTATCACTTACCAGCTTGTGACCTTGAGCAAGTTACATTGCTTTGCCTCAGTTTCATCATCTGTGGGGAAATAATAGTCCCCACTTCATAGGAGGGTTCTGAGGAGTAAATTACTATTTAAACAAGCAGATAGCATATAGCAAGTGTTTGAAAATGTTAGCAGTTTCTACTGTTCTTAGGGCTTGGGTCTTAGTGTCACCTGCCAGGTCGTCAGTGTAGGACCCAAACTGTGATAGCACAGCCCGTCCCCATTCTGTCCACTAGAGAAGGTCCAGTTTCCCTCTCCTCTAAAGCTGATACCTTCTGGGCACTCAGAGGACACAGGATCTATCTGCTATTGGCTCAACTATAACGTCTTAGGAAGTCAAGTTTAATAAAGCTGTTGACCAGCAAAAAGTTACCTTTGGATTCACAATTCATTTGAAGTCAGCATATACTTGATATCTGCACATGTTTTTTTCTCCAAGGGAAGAGAAACCATCTGCCAAGGAGGAACCTTACACACAGACTGGAGGCTTCTGAAACAGCAGTCTCCAGGGCAGAGAACCACAGACACGCTG